AGACAGGGTTTCTCTGTATAGCCCTGGCTGTCCTGGAACTCACTCTGTAGACCAGTCTGCCCTCGAACTCAGAAATCCACCTGCCTCTGCCTCCCAAGTGCTGGGATTAAAGGCATGTGCCATCACCGCCTGGTAAGTAGTTTCTCTTGATAGATTCTCTTCCCTAAATCTCCCTAAGGGGACAACACAGTCATATATTCATTTTTCTCTTTAATTCATTTTTTTCTTTTAGTGCTGGGGACAGAAGTCAGGGCCTCCCACACTTGAAACAAGCACTCTCCTCTGGATCGATAGCCCAAGTCCAGTGCTCACTTATAGTATCTAGAATTCACTGCCCAAAGTACCAACTCACCACCAGGAGTAGAGGTTGATAATACAATCTGCAGGTCCTTAGCATCATCTCTAAGTGCATCTAAGGCTGGGTTGAAGGAAGTCATCATGAACTGTGTGGTTAAGATGTCCTAGCTGTTGACTTTCTTCCTTAAAAGGCACTAATTCTCTAACTCCCCCTCACCACCCAAGTGAACCAGCCAAATTTCTCTCTACTCTCTCATCAATTTCCCTCCAATAACACTTAGTGTAGGAACATCTGCCTTCAACTATTATGTGTAAGGAGACTTTGGGGTGGGGGTGTGATCTTCCTCTTTTGGAAGAATGAATCTTAACATTGTCACTATGGGGGTAGACTTGAGAGGTTGGCAGCTTCTCTCTCTTGCTAGTGGGAGTGGTAGCAAACACAGTGAGGCCTCCCTACACTTTGTTTTGAAATCTCATCTCTATTTTTCCTCATTAGTAAGCAACGATGTAGAGGATCATTTATTGCGCTGGTGAGACACAGAAGGTGTTAAAAACTCTGTCAGCATGAAAAATTGTAACGAGCTGTCAGACACGCACAACATTGCTCAACAGACATGCCAAGCATGCTTTATGACTATGCTGGCTACATCTCAGTGCAAACTGTGTGGCTTAAAGGGTATGATTAAGCAGGGTGTTTGAGAACAAGCCTGCTATCCCAGCACCTGGGAGGTAGAGACATAAAGATCATAATTCAAGGCCATTCTCAGTTATATAGCTGATCTTGAATCTGGCCTTAGACTACATGAGACATTGCCTCAAAACAATAAAATACCAAAATGAATGAATGAATGAATGAATGAATGAATAAAATAAAAAAGGAGAAGAAAAAGGGGATTAAAATAAGTGGGGGTTGTGATCATAGCTCACAGATGTTTAGTATGTACAAGGGTCTGGATTCAATCTCCAGGACCAATAACAAAAAGGATCTGTGTGTATTCTGCTTACACCAGGATCACAAACTATAAAGTGTGCCTATCAAATTGACTCAATGAGAATAACTCTTGCTTTATATATATAATATTTGGTTCCTCTTAGTGGAAGTGGGAATTTTTCTGAGTGCATTTGCTACAGCTATTTATTTTTATCAAAGCCTACACTCATCTTACCTTTGCTTACTGGTTAACAGAAGGGAGATGGGGTGATTGACAGAGCAGAACTGCATGAAGCTTGTGTCCAGGCCAACCTGCATCTAGACAAGATGCTCCTGGACCATCTGTTTGACTACTGTGACGTGGATCAGGATGGCTTGATTAACTACCTGGAATTTGCCAATTTCCTTAACTGGAAAGACAGAATACCTCTCACTGAGTATGAGAAGAGGGTCATCATTAAAGGTATTTAATTCTTGACAGCTTGCTGAATTTTTAAGAAGATTTTTTATATTTTATAGTTTTTAGGATCTCAACCAGCTTTAATATTATGTGTCTTGGTTAGTTTCAACAGTCAATTCAACATAGCCCAGGGTCATCTGAGGGAGTCTTATCTGCTGGATTGCCCAGATCAGATTCTGTGAGAGATTTTCTTGAATGATGATTCATGTAAGAGGACCCAGTCTACTGTGGGCAGCACCATCCCTAGATCGATGGGTCTGGGCTATATAAGAAAGCTATCCAAGGGGCTGGAGAGATGGCTCAGTGATTAAGAGTCTTTACGGCTCTTGCAGAGGAGCTGGGTTCAGTTCCCAGCTTTCTTATCAGGTGGCTCACAGTTCCATATAATTCTAGTTCCAGGGAATTCACTGCCTCCTGGCCTCCACAGATACCAGCATAAATGCAGCCCCCCCCACATACTCATAAATAAAAACAATAAGTCTTTTGTTGAAAAGGTAGCTGAGCTTGAGTGAGAGAAAACAGTTAACAGTATTCCTCCATAGTATCTGGTTCCATTTCTGTTTCAGTTCATGCCCAACTTCCCTCATGGTGAACTGAAACCTGGGGTAAGCCAAATAAACCCTTTCCCCTCCAGGTTGTTTCTGGTCATATTTATCACAGCAACATAAAGGGAACTGGACAGAATGCATACAGTTTGCTTATGCAGAGGATGTGTGTAGAATGGAAGGAACGAATTTATTGTACTCAGGAAGATGGAAATATACGGCTGAGGGGCAGGGCAACAGTGAGACTCCTCCCTTTAATTATGTGTGAGATTTGTTAGTGACCATGACTGTTGGGGTGCAACATTAAGCAGCCCTCATTAGTACAGACTAGCCACTTGTCCAGGGACAGCAACTGGGGATAGATTTGACTCTTCAGCCTTGCGAGATCCCTTCTCAGCTGTTACGTCTTCGAATTCAACTGCGTTAAACTTGGCGAAATCCTACTTCTTTCACATGGTGATGTTCTGGTGGCCAGAAAATGTGGAGGTGGCCTTGAACAGGACTTCAGCAACATGGCTCTTATTCTTCAACTTAGTACAGAGAAAAATGGTGCCTGGGTAATCTGCACCAGGGCCACTGTGCTCTGGATCTTCCTAAAGGTATTCCACATTCCTGTCTTGAGTCTATATTGGAGACAGCAGGATATCAGGGATGACTAGCCTCCAGAAAACTGTCCCTTAGGGCAGTTCATATAAATCACAGGCTGTATGTATTCCCAAGAATGTTGCTGTTAACAGTCATTCTACATTGGGGGCATGAGGAGGGGAACCTGATTGGCTTACTCATGGCTGCAGAGGAAACTTTATAAAAAAGTTTAAAAATTAGCATATATTAGTTATACACAGTAATGGGTTTCATTGTGACATTCTGTACATGATAATAATGTATTTAATGATATATGCCTATTACTCTTTCATTCACCCTCTTATTCCCACTAACTACTCCTTTCCCCACCAGAGGCTTACATTTCATTGTATGGTCTTATGTCATTTGATATTGGGGCTATAAATTTAAAAATTAAAAGTAAATTACCTAGAATCTCAAAACTCAATAGCTCCTCATAAAGGGGTTTGAAAATCCCATCTTAGTCACATCTCTGAATTTAAGAAATTAAAAATATATGATTTTTAAATTTTTAAGCAGGGGCTGGAGAGATGGTTCAGTGGTTAAGAACACTGGTTAGAAGAACTGGGTTCAATTTCCAGCACTTACAGGCTCACAACTGTTTGTAACTCCAGTTCTAGGGCATCTGACACCCTTTTCCTGATATCTACAGGGATCAGACATGCATGTGATACATAGTACATAGATATATATGCGGAAATATACATACAGTAACAAAAAATAATTTTTTTTGCACAAAAAATTAAGTGTGGTGGAACGCAACTGTTTTCCCAACACTGAGGAAGCAGAGGCAGGAGGATTATAAGTTTGAGGCTGGTCTGAGCTATATAGAGACCTTGTCTCAAAAAGTCCCCAATCCAAATCATACAAAACCAAAAATTCCACAAAAATAAAATATTATAGTCTTTTGTTTGTTTGTTTGGTTTTTTAAGACAGGGTTTCTTTTTAGCTTTGTTACCCTAGAACTAGCTCTGAAGACCAGGCCTCACAGAGTTCTGTCTGCCTCTGCCTCTTGAGTGCTGGGATTAAAGGTATGTGCTACTACCGCATAGCTAACAATATAGTCTTAACTTTGACTTTCTTATGGTACTGAGGATTGAACCTAGAACTTTCTACAGAGCAGGTAAGCACTCTGTCACTGAGTTAATCCCCATTCTCCTTTTTACTTTTTATTTTGAGAGAGTCTCACTAACTTGCTTAGGTTTGCTAAGTAACTCAGGCAGGTCTTGAATTTGTCATCTTCCTGATTCAGCCTGGGTATCTGGGATTACAAGTCTGTATTATCAGACCTGGTGATCTTTAGATTCTCATATTTATATGTTATTTTCTTGTACTACTAAAATATATAGGCATGTATGTACACATACACACAGACACACAGACACACAGACACACAGACACACACACACACTTTTTTTTTGAGATAAGGTTTTCTAAATGTAGCCATGACTGGTTTGGAATTCAATTCTACAACAGGCCAGCCCATGAACTCACTAATAATCTTTCTGTCTTTGGCCCCCAAGTGCATAGATTAGAGGTATATATCTCTTCTCTCCCACTTCACGATTATTTTATTTATGCTTTGTAACAGGGTCTCTCTCTGTTGCTCCTGCTGGCCTAGAACTCAGCCTCATGAGTATAGGAGTTGTAGTGTAGGTATGTTCTGGCATGCTTGGCTTATGAATAGAATTAATTAATCTTTTTTCACCAAATATTTGAAAATATTTCTTTCATATCTTCTCTTTTCTGACTTTTCCCCTCCTCCTTCTGCCCTGTTTGTGTCTTTTGAGGCAAGGTCTCTCTCTCTCTCTCTCTCTCTCTCTCTCTCTCTCTCTCTCTCTCTCTCTCTCTCTCTCTCTCTTTTTTCAAGACAGGGTTTCTCTGTGTAGCTCTGGCTGTCCTGGAACTCACTCTGTAGACGAGGCTGGCCTGGAACTCAGAAATCCACCTGCCTCTGCCTCCCAAGTGCTGGGATTAAAGGCGTGCACCACCACCGCCCGGCCCTTTTTTTTTTTTTTACAGAATTATTTATTTATGTATTTGAGTTCTGTTGCTACCTCTTGAGTGCTGGAATCACACATATGTGGCTGTGCCTGTCCCCCTGACCTCCCTTCCTTCATCCTTTCTTTCTTCTTCCTTGTATAAATTTGGGATTTTAAAAATTCATTTTTATTTTAAATTATGTGTATATGTGTGTGTCTTCACATAGGTGTGTGTTCAAAGTACTCATGGAGTTTCTAAGAGGGTGTCAGGACCTCTGGAACTGGAGTTACAGGCAGATGAATCATCTGATGTAGTAATGGGAAGAAAGGGGAGTGAACCAGCTCTTCTGTAAGAGTAGACTTTTAACCACCTCTTGAGCCATCTCTCCAGTCCCTTGTGCTTTTTTTTTTTTTTTTTTTTTTTTTTGGTGGTGGTTGTTTTTGTTTTTCTTTTATTTTGTTTCTAAAGGCAGTATTTCAGTATACAGGGCAGTCTAGCTTTGATCTTGAACTAGCAGCAATCCTCCTGCCTCGGCCACTCAAGTGTTAGGATTATAGGCAAATCCTACCATGCCCAGCTACTTTTGATTTCTTGCTTAAACATTCTTTTCAGATTTGTTTTATGTGTAAGCGTTTTGCTTGCATGTATGTATGTATGTGCATCATGTACTTGCCTGGTGACCTTGGAGGTCACCCTGGGATTGGAGTTACAGATGGTTATAGAGTTCAATGTTGGTGCTTGGTATTGAACCTGGATCCTCTGAATGAGTAAAAGTACTGTTAACTGCTGAACATCTCTCCAGCATCCTAATTCTTGCTTCTATTATTTTAGCTTTGGATTCGATTAAATTTCTCTGAGATAGCTTGGAGAGGTGAAGTACGTCACCATCTGTTCAGAGATTAGACATTGTTAATCATAACCACATCCTTTGCTCTGATCTAAAGATGTGGACGGAGTTCTCAAAAGCCTCCTTGTCCCTTAGAGGTTCTGTAGTTGCTACACTGCAGTCAGTGCTCAGATCTATAGCATTTTACCAGGAGCCAGGTTTGGCCTGGACAGTCAGAGTGATACAGCCTTTGTGATCAGCTGCCACAGGACTCCAGGGAGGAAGTTTCTTTCTGCTTCTTTGTCCCAGCTTTTAATATTGTCATATCAGTTTATACTAAGCATCTAGCTACCAGAAGGGTAGAAAAGGTCCAAGGGCCCAGTTCTGCCCAACCTGGGCCCAAAATAACCATCGATGCACCATTTTTATTGTTTAGTGAAGCTTTCAGAACTAGTGTGTGCCATGTGCCTGTTACCTTAGCCCTTGGGAGGCAGAAGTAGGAAGATGGCTGTAAGTTTGCGACATGTCTGATAGGATGGTGAGTTCCTGGCCAGTCAAGGAGGGATACATGGGAAACATGTCACAACAAGCAAAAAAAGCAAATAAATGCCTAGTCTGGTGGTATACACCTATATCCCTACCATTTGGGATGTGAGATACAAGAGAATTAGAAGTTTGTCATTTTCTGCTACATACTGAGTTTAAGGCCAGCCTGTGCTACCTGAGACCCTGGCTTAAAACACACAAAACCAAACAAAAATTTAGCCTTCAAATTTCTTCAGCGTGAACAGATTCTATTGTGGTTTCTACAACTCTATCTTTAATTCTAACTTCCTTATGTGTTCTGATTCCCTAAACCTTCCTTCACTCTGAAATTTAGGTTCTTTTAAGGTATTTTAAAAGCAATATAGATCATTTTCTGAATATCATCCCCCAAAAGCTTTTTGTTTCTTTATCTTTCTCCTCTTTTTTTTTTTTTT